GGCCTCCTCCACCGGGACCCCGGCCCCCTCCACCGGGACCCCCGGCCTCCTCCACCGGGACCCCGGCCTCCTCCACCGGGACCCCCGGCCCCCTCCACCGGGACCCCGGCCTCCTCCACCGGGACCTCAGCCCTCAGCCCCCTCCACCGGGGCCCCGGCCTCCTCCACCGGGACCTCAGCCCCCTCCACCGGGACCCCGGCCTCCTCCACCGGGACCTCCGGCCCCCTCCACCGGGGCCCCGGCCTCCTCCACCGGGACCCCCGGCCTCCTCCACCGGGACCTCAGCCCCCTCCACCGGGGCCCCGGCCTCCTCCACCGGGACCTCAGCCCCTCCACCGGGACCCCGGCCTCCTCCACCGGGACCCCGGCCTCCTCCACCGGGGCCCCGGCCTCCTCCACCGGGACCCCCGGCCTCCTCCACCGGGACCCTGGCCCCCTCCACCGGGGCCCCGGCCTCCTCCACCGGGACCTCAGCCCCTCCACCGGGACCCCGGCCTCCTCCACAGGGACCCCCGCCTCCTCCACCGGGACCTCAGCCCTCAGCCCCCTCCACCGGGACCTCAGCCCCCTCCGCCGGGACCCCTGCCCTCAGCCCCCTCCACCGGGCCCTCAGCCCCCTCCGCCGGGACCCCCGCCCTCAGCCCCCTCCACCGGGCCCTCAGCCCCCTCCACCGGGACCCCCGCCCTCAGCCCCCTCCACCGGGCCCTCAGCTTCCTCCACCGGGCCCTCAGCTTCCTCCACCGGGCCCTCAGCCCCCTCCACCGGGCCCTCAGCCCCCTCCACCGGGACCCCCGCCCTCAGCCCCCTCCACCGGGACCTCAGCCCTCAGCCTCCTCCACCGGGACCTCAGCCCCCTCCACCGGGACCCCCGCCGCCTCCACCGGGACCCCTGCCCTCAGCCTCCTCCACCGGGCCCTCAGCCCCCTCCACCGGGACCCCTGCCCTCAGCCTCCTCCACCGGGACCCCCGCCCTCAGCCCCCTCCACCGGGACCCCCGCCGCCTCCACCGGGACCCCTGCCCTCAGCCTCCTCCACCGGGCCCTCAGCCCCCTCCACCGGGACCTCAGCCCCCTCCACCGGGCCCTCACCCCCGTCCACCGGGACCTCAGCCCCCTCCACCGGGACCCCCGCCGCCTCCACCGGAATCCCACTCCCTCAGCCCGACACCCCAGTCCCCTGGCCAGAGGACCCCGAGTCCCCCAGCACCGCCCTCCTCCCCCGGCCAGCCCAGTCTCCCTAGGCCAGCAGACCCCAAACCACCACCTATTCGCTCTGCCACCAAGCCTCCCCTAAGAACGCCCCCTGACCTCAACGCCTGTCTCCTTGGCACCCGCAGTTCCCGAGGGGAGAGCCCCTTCTGCTGACCTACTGCCTGGCTGCGGAGCTGGTTTGGGCTCTAGCTGCCCTGCTGTGGAGAGGTCGTTGCCAAAGGAGCACAAGAAACGCGGTGGGGACATGGCCCCACCCCAGAACCTCCTAACCCTACCCTCCACACCCCAGAGTTTCCTAGCCAGAGAACCTCATGGCCTGGAGCCCCCTAACCCACAGCCTCCTAACCCCACACCATTCAGCACTAGAGCCTCCTAACCTAGAACCTTCTAACCCAAGAAACTCCTAACAAAGAACCTCCCACTCCATAGGTGGCACTGACTGCACCATGAGCATCCCAGCCAGTTCCCCAGAGAACAACTCAGAGGGAGAAGCAGGAAGACCTGGATGCCAGCCCAAGGTAGACATGTGGGAGGCAGCCAGACCTACCCAGGGCCAGAGGGAGGGGGAGCAGGGGACCAGAGGACCACAGACTCTAAGACATACCTGGTGCCTTGCCTGTTCTCTACCATAAGGTAGAGAAAAAGGCCAAGCTCTCTGCTTTTGATCTATGCTACTATATCACAAGGAATCTTTTTTAATTCCCCCCAGGTCAAAGATGCTTTCAAAGACATTTCCATGTATTTTTCCAAGGAAGAATGGGCAGAGATGGGAGAATGGGAGAAGATCCACTATAGGAATATGAAAAGAAACTACAATATGTTGATTTCTATAGGTAATGAGGTCTCTCTAGCCCCTTAGTTAGTTTGGCCATCTCTTAGATGGCTACAGGTGTTCACAGGAGACAGAAGAGAGGGAAATTTTTTCTTTTGTGTTAAGTTCAGGGCTGAATGTTTGCATGGACGAAATCCCAGCCTCACGCTCCCAACTCACTTTGTCTTGTGGTACTTTCCATTACCGTTACCTTTGTTTCTTCTCTCAGTTTGCTTCCCTTCTAGAAGGAAAGTTTTGCCTCTTTCCAGGTCTCAAAGCCCCTCGACCAGTTTTCATGTGTCACCGAAGGCAAGCCATCAAACCCCAGGTGGATGACACTGATGATTCTGATGAAGAGTGGACACCTGGACGGCAAGGTGAGGGACCAGGAAGACTTAGAAGTCACCCCTTGAAACCACCCCAGGTTTAGGTTTAAGAAATACCTCAGAAGTATCTGGGCACCAGTGGCTCATGCTTGTAATCCTAGCTACTCAGGAGGCTGAGATCTGAGGATCACAGTTCAAAGCCAGCCCAAGCAGGAAAGTCTGTGAGACTCTTATCTCCAATTAGCCACCAGAAAACCGGAAGTGGCACTGTGGCTCAAGTGGTAGAGCACTCACCTTGAGCTGAAGAGCCCAGGAACAGTGTCCAGGCCCAGAGTTCAAGACACACAACCAACAAAACAAAAAAGAAAGAAAAAAGAAATACCTCAGAAGTTAACAAGGAAAGTGTTTCTTCAAACACAGAAATGTCAAGAAACAAGCAAGATGCAATACAATATACATATACATATAATAAATAATATATAAAGTAAGAAACTATTCCTATAAAGCTTAAAAAAGTAAAAATATCATTTCATTTATAATAATATGTAGGAAGGCATAAAATCTGAATGTAAACAAGAAATATAAAATCCAGAATAGTTATTATCACAAAAGAAAGATGAAGGGGTAGCAGATGACTTTGCTGCCACTTGGTTAATTTTATATATTTTAAATTTTGACATAGAAACTATAAGATCTGAGGCAGATTAACTGAGTGATAAAGGGTGTAAAGGTTTTCTGTTGTCATTTTCCACACTTTTCTATAAATCATTTAAAATGTATTCGCAAACATTATTAGCCAGGTGTTATATTGTTTTCATTTTTATTTTATTTTCATTTTACATAATCTCACTATTGGGAAGGGATAATGGGACATGGGAAGGGATAGTGGAACAACAAAGAAAGGGGTAACAATGAACGACAAATAATATATTCATTGCCTTACTCGTGTAACTATAGCCCCTCGGTACAGCACCTTTACAATAAAATAAAATTTTTTTAAAAGAATCTCATTATGTAGCCCAGGCTGGTCTTGAACTCAAGATCCTCTTTTCTCAGCTTCCTGAGTACTGGGATTACAGGTGTTCGCCTTTATGCCAATCTTCAAAAAGGAATTAAAGAAACCTTAATTAAAGTGCAAATTTTCCCAACAGCTTCCTAACATTAATCTCATAATATTTGGTTATTGGAGTAAATGTCTTAAAAGAGAAAATGATTAACATTATATAAAGATTTATTTTTTTTTGGTCAGTCATGGCGCTTGAACTCTGGAACTGGGTGCTGTCCCTCAGCTCTTCAGCTCAAGGCTACTGCTCTCTCACAGTGCCACTTTTGATTTTCTGGTAGTTTTTTGGATATAAAAGTTTCATGGACTTTCCTGCCCAAGCTGGCTTTGAACCGTGATACTCAGATCTCAGCCTCCTTAGTAGCTATGATTACAGGCATGACCCACCAGCATCTGGCCTTATTTATATATCTTTATATAACAATTATCTTGCCCCAAAAGGAACCTGATTCTTTCTCTTGAATCTGGGAGAGTATTCAAGAGAGTGATTTAATTTTCTGGATTTTTCCCTTGAATTCTTGAATCAGAGATAGCATCAGATTAATATGGTGATATGTACTCAGTAGCACTCAGTATAAAATAGAAACGAGAAGCTCATTTCCTCTTCTTAACAGGAGAGGTTAGGAGAAAAAAGTCAATATGCCTAAACTGCAGAAAGCATCTTAGATTATGCCTATGACTCCTCGCCTGTATATTTCAGTTGTGTATGGACTTGAAAGCCCAATGTCTGGTTGTCTGCAAAAGTTCTGACATTAAAAGACAATGTTCATGAAAATGTATCTCACATGGTTTACTACATCTTTATCTCATCTCATAATCTCCAACCCTTTTAATTTATTTTTTATATGGTGGCTCCTGGAAATCATACAACATAATTCTCTTGATAGTTCAGTTTAAAGTATACAATATTGATAAATAACATGCACATTGTGTCAACAGTTCTATCCATGGAACAATATTACTTCCTCTTCTCCCTAGACCCTGGAAAGCATAGTTCTACTTTATGTAGATACTTTCTTTATATATGAATTTCAGTTGCTTCAACTACTTCATAGAAAGACAATTGTCTTTGAGTAACTGGCATGTTTCACTTAGCCTAATGTCACCTGCATCTTAATCCTGAATAGTGTGGGATTTCTTTCTTGTTTAGTGCTGAATAATGTTCCATTGAATGTATAAGCCACATTTTTTTATTCCAGTCCTGGAGCTTGAACTCAGATCCCTGAGCTATTTTGCTTACGGCTAGCATTACCACTTGAGCCACAGCTTCACTTTTGGCTTTTTTAGTGCTTAATTGGAGATAAGAGTCTCACAGACTTTCTTGCCTGGGCTGACTTTGAACCACAATCCTCAGATCTAAGCCTCCTCCTGAGTAGCTAGGGTTACAGGCATGCCTGGCTAACCCATATTTTCTTTATCCATTCATCACTTGGTATTATTTACATTGTTTCCACCTCTTGGGCATGCAACCTCTTTTTTTTTTTTTTTTTGCTAGTCATGGGGCTTGAACTCTGGGCCTGAACACTGTCCCTCAGCTCTTCAGCTCAAGGCTAATGCTCGAGCCCTTGAGCCACTGCACCACTTCCAGTTTTCTGAGTGGTTTATTGGAGAGAGTCTCACGGACTTTCCTGCCCAGGCTGGCTTGGAACCACTGTCCTCAGATCCCCACCTCCTGAGTAACTAGGATTACAGGTGTGAACCACCGGCGCCCAGCTATGCAACCTCTTTACAACTGTCAATAGTATTAATAATGCTGCAGTGACAATGAATGTACCAATATTTATTTAGGACCTTCCCTCCTTCTTTCCTATTTCTGTGTATACGAGGAAGTTAGATTGCTAGATCATAATCTAGTTCTACACTTTTAAATTTTGGGGGGGTTGTGGGGCCTAAACTCTGGGCCTGGGCACTGTCCCTCAGCTCTTCAGCTCAAGGCTATCACTCTACCACTTGAGCCACCATGCCACTTCTGGCTTTTTCTGCTTATGTGGTGCTGAGGAATCAAACCCAGGGCCTCATCCATGCAAGGTAAAGCACACTACCATTGAGCCACCTTCCGAGCCCTACTTTTAATTTTTTTTTTTTTTGGTCGGTTGTGGGGCCTGAACTCTGTGCCTGGGCACTGTCTCTCAGCTCTTCAGCTCAAGGCAATTGCTCTAATACTTGAGTAACAGGGCCACTCCGGTTTTCTAGTAGTTTATTGGAGATAAGAGTCTTAAAGACTTTCCTGCCCAGGCTGCCTTTGTACCGTGATCCTCAGATCTTAGTCTCCTGAATAGCTAGGATTACAGGCATGAGCCACCGGCGCCCAGCCACAGCACCCATTTTTAAAATTGTGTTATATGAGTTCTTGTTATTGTGGTTGTTATAGAGTTGTAGTAGTTCTTTATATAAACTAGATATTAACTTCTTATTAAATATATGATTTTCACATATATTCTCCCATTATGTAGATTGCCTTGGTCATTCTCTTTATTGTTTCCTTTTCTGCACAGTCTTTAAATGAATGTAGTCCCACTTCTCTATTTTTGCTTTTGTAGCTTATGAGTTTGATTTTGTACTCAAGAAATCTTTTCCTATTCAAGGTCCCTTGAGATCTTATAAGAATTTTTAGGTATTTTTTAATTTTAGACAAAAAATGGGATTGTCATTTTGATAGGGATAGCATTGAATATATAGATCATTTTGGGTTAAATGAATATCTTCATAATATTAGGTCTTATAACCAGTGAACACAGGATTTCTATTTATGAGTTTTTTTCCATAAATCATTAATAGTATATTTTATAGAGAAAAAAACAGAAATCTTAGTTTCATCCAAAGACACTCAAATCTAATTTTTCCTTGTCAATCCCTTCTAACTGTAACTTTGTAGCCATGTAATAAAGGCCACCTTAAGGATTTTTTTCAACTTCAAAAAAAGTAAACAATCAGGCTATCAAGAAAGGTACTCAATACATACTTTCCTTATATCACACAAACTAGTATTCAGTACAGTATGACTATGTAGGATATATATAATACACATGTTAACAAAGCAAATACTATAAGCTCAGAAACGTCTATTTATGAATTTTAGGACTGAATTTTCTATTTCAGTGAAGAATTACTTTACTGTTTTTAAGGGACTTGCATTGAATGTTTAGATTGCTTTCCACAGTAAAACCATTTTCACAATATTGACTTTTACCAATTCATGAACTCTTTCCATCTTCTGGTATCATTTCAATTCTTTTCTTTGAGGTTTTGTACTTCTCATTATAGAAGTCTTTTACCTCTTTGGTTAAGTACAAACCTAAGCTAATTTTTTTAAGATTATTATGACTGTTTCTGATTTCTTTTTTAGCCTGTTCATGGTTAGTAGAAAAGCTAATGATTTTAATATGTTGATCATATATCCTGGCACATTTCCAACAATATATATTAGAACTAGAAGTTTTCTGTAGGAGTTTCTAGAATCTTTTAAGTGTAGGATCATGTTAACTATGAATAAGGATAATCTAAATGTTTCCCTCCCTATTTTGACCTACTTTATCTCCTTCCCTTGGCTTACTGCTGTGGCTAGAGTGCAATACTGAAAGAGAGTGAAAAGAACAGACACATTTGTCTCATTCCTGATGTTAGCAGAAATGATTTCAGTTTTCATATACACCCTTATCACATTGAGATATGTACCCAGTATTCCTAGTTTCTTCAGGACTTTTATCATAAAAGGATGTTAAATTTTGCCAAAGGTTTTTTTCTGCATCCACAGAAATGATTGTATGATTTTTTTGTTCTTGATCTGTTTAGGTACTACATTCTATTTATTATGTATGTGGAACCACCCTTCATCACTGAAATGAAACTAAGTTGACCATGGTATATGCAATTTTAACTCCATAACCTTTTCTTCTTGTTCCTAGTTTGCTTTGTGGTTCTTGTTGCCAAATGCCAATTAAATTATAACAGATAGTTTATGAACACTCTAGAGAGAAGCAAAAAGATGAGTTTTGTCTAGGTTTGAAGAAAGTTAAGGGAAAACAGAACTGCTCCTAGTAGAAGAACAAGCCTTAATGACACTTCAGAAAGCATTTTCCTAAAATGGATTCCTTTGAAGCCTTTTCTCTCTGGCTCAGAATTTGCTGTTCAAAAAATGAGAATCCAGAGTTTGGTAACATTTTCTAACCAAAATACTGATTTCTCATCACTTTTAGTCAAACCTCCTTGGGTGACCTTCAGAACGGAACAGAGTAGGCATCAGAAGGTAGGTATCTCTCAAATCCTATTAATGAGTAAACTTTCTTCATGGATCCAAACACAGGTAAAATTGTCCTAGGAACCTCTGCCTCCTTTTCCTGATCTCTTCTGCTCTTGTCATCATCATCATTCTAAGATTCAATTCACATCAACAATAGGCACTACCACTTATTTTATTTTTACAATATTTTAGACTTTATTTTAAACGTCACATGAACAAATATATTTGAATATTGCAACAACCCAATGAGGCAGACAATAAACTATAATCACTTACTAGATGAGAAAACTGAGTGAGGTCTAGAAATATCTTGTGTCTGAGATCACACTTAGTGGTGGTTAAGTCTAACAAAATACTTCCTCTAAAGGCACTTACAAGTTCATATATACTTGCATAGTATTATAAAGTCTAAGCTGTCTTAGCCACAGCTGTCTTAGCTGTCTTCACACCATTCACTGAGTGATTATTCCAACTTCTGTTCATCTCTGTGATGCCAAAGTGATAGATGCACCAAGATAGATACACATTATTTGACAGTTCTAAGAAAAGCTTATTAAAACCCAGAAAATTTGTACTATTGGTGGCTCACATGAAAATTAAGACTTATTCTGATAAGAAGCGCTCTCAGCCCTAAGGAGTTTCAAGTCTGATGGTTGAGAAATGAAAAAAACCTGTGACTTAAGACTTCACATAGGGGCTGGGAAGGTGGCTCAGTGGTAGAGCGCTTGCCTTGCATGTATGAGGCCCTGGGTTCGATTCCTCAGCACCACATAAGCAAAAAAAAAAGTCGGAAGTGGCTCAAGTGGTAGAGCACTAGCCTTGAGCTGAAGAGCTGAGGGACAGCGCCCAGGCCCAGAGTTCAGGCCCTATGACTGGACCCAAAACAAAACAAAAAGACTTTACATAGGCATATGTCCTTCTGAGGCTAATTTCAAAGGCCAATTCTGTGAGGAAGAGGAGGATTGGTCCTTCTTCTGAGCTTTAATTAGCTGATTCTTGCATCTTCTGCTGTCTTTTGTTTAGCTGCTGCCTATATATGTGAGTCCTTTGAGTAGCTGAAACATATCTGAGGTTCTTCAGAGGTCTCAGGTCCCAACAGACCCCCCTCAATATTTTCAGCATAAACAATAAATTATAATTAATGACAAAATAAGTAAGCAGTTTAGAAATTTAACTACAAGTAACAGGCTCAAGAAATACTGAATATAACACCTTCAAATTTGATTTCAACTAATTTATTTCAACTTGCAGAGGAAGTAAATTTGTATTAGTGCTGTAAAAGAAACGGTTGGGGGCTGGGGAATGTGACTTAGTGGTAGAGTGCTTGCCTAGCACGCATGAAGTGCTGGGTTTGATTCACTAGTACCACATATATAGGAAAAGCAAGCTGGAAGTGGTGCTGTGGCTCAAGTGGTAGAGCACTAGCCTTGAGCAAAAGAAGCTCAGGGACAGCGCCCAGGCCCTATGTTCCAGCCCTAGGACTGGCAAAAAAAAAAAAAAAAAGAAAAAGAAATGATTAGTTTCACATCGATGCTGTATTTAATAACTGACAAGATTATTTGGTGAACTTTTTTTTTCTTTGGTGCTGGGCCTGGGACTTGAACTCATGGCCTAGGCACTGTCCTTGATCTTTTCTTGGGGGGGGGGGCCTGAACTCTGGGCCTGGGTACTGTCCCTCAGCTCATCAGCTCAAGGCTAGCACTCTACCACTTGAGCCACAGCGCCACTTCCAGCTTTTCTCTTTTTGCTTATGTGGTACTGAAGAATCGAACCCAGGGCCTCATACATGCAAGGCAAGCAAGCGCTCTACCACTGAGCCACCTTCCCAGCCCCTGATCTTTTCTCTTTCTTTGCTTTTCTCCTTTGCTTTTGTCAAGGCTAGCACTCCACAGCTTGATCCATAGCTCTACTTCTGGCTTTTTTGGTAGTTAATTGGATTTAAGAGTCTTACAGCCTTACAGTCTTACAGCCAGCTTGGGCTGGCTTCAAACTTTGATCCTCAGATCTCAGCCTACTGAGTAGCTAGGATTATAAGCATGAGCCATTAGTGCCTGACTGATGAATATTTTTTATTTTACACTATCACATCAAAAACTGACATGTATACCAATTTATAGAATTGTTAGGTGGTACATACTTTTTCAGGCAAAATTACATAGAAACAAGTTAATCTAATTTCAAAGTCAGCTGTTCTTTCTAATTGCAACTTGAAACTTGTAGCTTCATATACTTAATTGTTCATATAGATTTCTAGCAACAATTACTTCCTAATCTCACTGCTCTGCCTCCTCATTTTCCAGGTAAATTTTGTACTTCTCCACTTTTCCACATGTTCTGATTCATTAAATGTCTCCTCTAGAAGATGTGCTCTTTCAAGCTTTACTTTCTTCATTCACAGACCTTGTTTGCTCTTAGGTTTGTATTCTCAAGTGCTCTCCCTCCTTCAGTCTCACTTATATGGATTTGAGAGAAAACAGATGGGAGATGACAGCCTTAGAACATAGATTCTAGGGGCTGGGAAGGTGGCTCAGTGATAGAGTGCTTGCCTTGCATGCATGAGGCCCTAGGTTCAATTCCTCAGCACCACATAAGCAGAAAAAGCCAGAAGTGGCGCTGTGGCTCAAGTGGTAGAGCGCTAGCCTTGTGCTGAAGAGCTGAGGGACAGTGCCCAGGCCCAGAGTTCAGGCCCATGACTGACAAAAAAAGAAAAGAAAAGAAAAAGAACACAGATTCTAATTCTAGATTCACAATCCATTCAGGCTCTTCCTTTTTCTTCCTATATTCACACAACTCAGTTTTTTTTCAAGAGCTGCTGAAGCATTAACTAAAGTTATGCATAAAGTAAGCTATAAAGAACTACAGAAATGAATGTTGTGCTTTATATGTGACTTTCATTGAAGGGAATGCCCAAGACACCATTAGGTAATGAACCTAGTTGGAAGAAGTTCTCAGGAATTACAAATTTTCCGAAGACAAGTAGATTAGAACAGGCCCAGAGACCAGTGTCCCCTCCTGGAGAAGCAGGTACACAAGGAGAGCACTGCAAACAAAAACTGGGTAAGAGAAAATAATTGGAAACTTTAGTCGTTTTGGAAATTCTACAAAGGTTGATGAGGGTCCTCTGACGATGTGAGGTGGACTTTGGAAAGGCCAGACATAGGCTGTGGGACTAGTAATTAGGTTGCCATAGACTGGCATGCAAGAGCTTGACTATAAATTACACACTTGGGCTATTATCCACACGGAGGCACTTAGGCCAGGGCACACCTTACAATCTCCCTGGACTTCTGAATGTTAATCTGAAGAGCATGTACAGCCTGGGCTGGGAATGTGGCTTAGTGGTACAGTACTTGCCTAGCATGTGTGAAGCCCTGGGTTTGATTCCTTAGAACCACTTAAACAGAAAAAGCCAGAAGTGGAGCTGTGGCCCAAGTGGTAGAATGCTAGCCTTTAGCAAAAGCAGCTCAGGGACAGTGCCAAGGCCTTAAGTTCAAGCCCCATATATTGTTTGAAAGCAGTAAGTAAAAGATAAAATAACAGATACATGTTATGTGTCCAATAAATCTGTGACCACACATTTTCAATCCTGTATGTCCAGGCCTTTGCTCAATACTTAACATGCCTTCAACAAATATTCTGAGTGAATAAATGCATCAATGACAATTGTATAAGAGGCTTGATCAAGTAGAAATTAAACTTGAAAATGGGGACAGCCAAAAATTAAAATTGAATTAGACACCTGCAGTCAGTGTTGAAGTGAAATCTTTGTCTCTCTGAGGGACCCCAGTATGTAGGAAGAAGAGATGATAATTTGACTGTAAGAGATTTCACATTTCTGAAGAAATAGGGACACTCTAGATACCCAACTTCACTAATCATTGTTCTTTAACTAGGACCCAGGACAAAGGAGGTAAAAATGAGGATGTACAGCCTACGGGAAAGAAAGAGTTATGCTTATGAAGAGATCAGCGAGCCCCAGGATGATGATTACCTCTGTAAGTGACCCTCTGTGCCTGTTCATGCAGGAGGCTGAAATGTTCATCAGGCCATTTGGCCCCCAAGCTACTTTGTTACTCTAGTAACTTCAAATGAAGACCTAAGGGACAATGAAATGTGTTCTGTGCTCTTTCTGATGACTGTTAAATTTGGGAATGTACATATTCCTTGACTAATCCTTGCTCCTCTTGCCTCAGATTGTGAGCAGTGTCAGAACTTCTTCATCAACAGCTGCACTGTTCATGGGCCACCTATATTTGTAAGAGACAATGTGGTGGACAAGGGGCATTATGACCGTTCAGTGCTCAGTCTGCCCCCTGGTCTGAGAATTCGACAATCCAGTATTCCTGAGGCTGGGCTTGGAGTATGGAATGAGGAATCTGATCTGCCACTGGGTTTGCACTTTGGCCCCTATGAGGGCCAGATCACAGAAGATGAAGATGCAGCCAATAGTGGATACTCCTGGATGGTACGAAATGCCTCCTTTTCCCCCTTCCTCTAAGTCCATGTGTCCCTCTGTGCCTCCAGTGAAACATTGCTAGGACATGGACAAAAAGTTGTGTGTATTTGTGGAATCCCCAATTAAGATCAAATGGTAGTGAATAAGAGCAGATTGTGATAGAGGCAAAGTGTATCCACTCTTAAGGAGCCTCTGTTAGGAGCATGACAAATTCCCTCAGATGTATAGACCGCTTCCTATGCATTCACAACTGGTGGCTGAATCCATGCAGGCTCAAAGAGCATCACTGAAATTGAGTAAAGTGATTGTGTGATTATTACTCAAAAGCCTTTACCTTGTCTTTCTGAAACTCAGATCACAAAGGGGAGAAATTGCTATGTGTATGTAGATGGAAAGGATAAATCCCAGGCCAACTGGATGAGGTGAGTCCAACAGTAGTGTTTATGGTTCTTGAGAGGATACTCACCTCACAAGACGTGCTCCCTTTCTTCTCATCACACCTTTCTCAATGGATTCCCATATCTGTTTTTCTTTTTCTCTACACGGTGCTTTTAAAATCATGAATACTTGAGGAAAAAGAAATAAAAATATATTTATATAGTATAGCTGGGTTCCATAGCTCAAACCTGTAATTCAACTTGTGAGGTGGAGGTGATGAGACCACAATCTGAGTGAGGCCAGCACTCGCATAAAAGTTTGTAAGACCTCTTCACAAACAATGGCGTGGCTGGGAAGGTGGCTCAGTGGTAGAGTGCTTGCCTTGCATGCATGAGGCCCTGGGTTCGATTCCTCAGCACCACATAAACAAAAAGAAAAAAGCCAGAAGTAGCGCTGTGGCTCAAGTGGTAGAGCGCGAGCCTTGAACTGAAGAGCTGAGGGACAGCGCCCAGGCCCGAGTTCAGGCCCACGACCGGACCCCATATGAGGTGATGTATCTCATGCAACACAGGGAAGCACAATCAGGATGGGACCCCAGGCCAGCCTGGGCATAAAAATACCTCAAAAATAGCAACAAGAAAAGGGCTAGTGGTTCAAGTGGCAGAGTGCCTGTCTTGTAAGAGGTAAGTTCAGTCCCTGAGTTCAATCCCTACCTCCACTGTGTATGCATGTATGCAGATATATGTGTATTTAATTGTATCAAAACAAATATTCCCATGCTAGACAAAATTGAGATACCAGAGTAAACACCAGAGGGCTTAACTTCACTGGGCACTCCAAAATGTCACTGATCCAGAATCTATGTCCTGTTTCAAAGAATTGCCTTCAGTACTTGAACAAATGCTACAGTCTGAGTTATTGTGAAGGGCATATGGAGAAAGAAATGAGACATTTCATTATAGGAATATTTAACTATATTTTTCCTATTTTTTGAAAAGTATACAGTGCCCTAACAACCTACTATAATGGACCTTCAGTCTATGAAGGTAGGAACTCTCCCAACCCTAATACACATTAGCTCTTGATTCAGAGCTGGAGGAGAAGTGAGCTCCAGGAAAGCAGTGACTCTATGATGTAGCTACAGCCCTATGTCACAGGGATTCCTTGTCTTAACAAGAACAGACAATAGCCGGGCGCACGCCTGTAATCCTAGATACTCAGGAGGCTGAGATCTGAGGACTGCAGTTTAATGCCAGCCGGGGCAGAAAAGTCCATGAGACTCTTATCTCCAATTAACCACTAGAAAACCAGAAGTGGTGCTATGGCTCAAGTGGTATAGTGCTTGCCTTGAGCTGAAGACCTCAGGGACAGTACCCAGGCCCAGAGTTCGAACCCCACAACCAACAAAAAAAGAAGAACAGACACTATGAATAAACTAAAATTTCTCTTTGTAAGACAAAGAGATCTCTGAATTTCTGTGGGAACCTAGTAGAGACAGGTGCATGAGTGAGGCCAATCTAAAGAAAATTACTTGGGCCAAAAGCCAAGTGATGTGCGCTAATCTAGAAGCAGAGTACATGCCCCCCCCAAACCTATGGCAGAGCACATGCCCCCACCCAAACCTATGGCAGAGCACATGCCCCACCCAAACCTATGATATAAACCTAAACTCAGTTTAGAGAATGTGCATTTTATGACCAATCAAGATGGAGAGAAATCTGGAATTAGGCTTTGAAAACAGTGCGCTTAGAATTCTAGAGTGGATGAGTACTAGGAGCAGATCCAACAGGGACTAGAAACTTATCTTATGTTTCCTTCTCTGTGCCTGCTTCAACCTTAGGTATGTGAACTGTGCCCGGTATGATGAGGAGCAGAACCTCGTGGCCTTTCAGTACCACAGGCAGATCTTCTACCGAACCTGCCGTGTCATCAAGGCAGGCTGTGAGCTGCTGGTCTGGTATGGGGATGAGTATGGACAGGAACTGGGCATCAAGTGGGGCAGCAAGTGGAAGAGAGAGCTCACAGCAGAAACAGGTGGGCCTCACTATGGTTCCTTAAAAAGGAGGAAAGGAAAAAAAAGAATTCTCTTTGGAAACTTTCAGGTATCAACTCTCAGGTAGAGCAAAATGCAGTTTAAAGTCAGTAAATTTCAAATTAGGTACCTCTGAAATTAAAGATGCTTTTGTGCAACTTTATTAGGAAAATTTTATTTTTAAGTATTTGTCCTGATTTTACATTTTAAGAACTGTACATGTTAAAATGTAACACAAAATACTCTGCTAAAAGGCTTAAAGGCCAAACAAAGAACCTACCAGCTCTCAGAACCAGATACTTGTGGCCATTTCAGATTTTTTCTTTCTTTTTTAAAAAATTTTTTGGTCAGTCATGGGGCCTGAACTCTGGACCTGGACGCTGTCCCTCAGCTCTTCAGTTCAAGGCTAGAGCTCTACCACTTGAGCCACAGTGCCACTTCTGGCTTTTTCTGCTTATGTGGTGCTGAGGAATCGAACCCAGGGCCTCATGCATGTGAGGCAAGCACTCTACCACTGAGCCACCTTCCCAGCCCTCAGTTTCTTCTTAATTTCCTCCATATTCACAAATGTTATACATATGTTGATGTTCATTACATCAACTAGTTATTCTGTGAATTCCTGCTCTAGCTAATAGGAAGAAAATCAGTTAGAATGAGGGTTCCCATAGAGACTTGTGTCTAAGGTCAGATAGTGACTCCTGCTTTGGAGAAAATGAATCCAGAAATTGTGTGTTTAAAGAACCCTTGTGATGTAAGGTTGAGTGTGGCATATATGGTAAGGAAAACTTTCTCCTCAGAAATAACATTTCAGAGGGAAAGATAGGCATGAGCAAAAGATGCCAGGCAGGAGAAGCTAGTGCAGCTTCGCTGAGGCAGAAAGAGTAGGGTATTTAAAGACTGGCTGAGACAGAGGAAAGAAGACTGGAAATGTGGAAGCTATAAGTCAGACCAAAACACTAGAGATGGAGCAATGGTAGAATTTTCAGTTATCTATTCTAAGACAATGATTTGGTTAATTTTTGGAAAATAAGCATCTGTCTCCAAGTTAGAAAGGGTGGTGGTTTCTGGAAAAGTGAATAGAAGACAGGAATTCAGTCAGGGATATGTTAATAATGAGGCTTCCTGTAGTATTCGAGATACGCTTAGACTTAATGAGATACATCAAGAATGAATAGATGATATGAGGCCTGGGGGAGGACATAATTTCATTTTACCTTCTATGGGACACTGAGAGAGAAGCAATTTATTGTCAGGGCAGCAGGAGCCAGGGATCTTTAGTCAATGGGACCTGGCCCACTCTGTCTTGTGCAGCCTGAGATCTACTTTTCATGGAAGATCCTCAATTCCTCATATCTTTTTGACTGGGGAGACTCAAATTTAAACATTCACATATTCTGTATCTAGCCACAACTCTTTCCAGATTCTGACATTTGTACATCTTCAGACTGAAGATATAATAAATCCCTTTCTCCTCTCAGAGAGAGAAGACTGACAATGGCAAGGTCATTGTTACTAATAACAATGCCACCGAAACCATAAAAGGTTGGCATTTCTCAGTAGAATGATACACCTTCAAATAGTATATCAAGAAAGGTGCTCAGGAATCGGAATGAGGTAAAATGTGGGAAGGATAGGGGAAACAGGATATGGCTTAGAAGGTATTTATAGCTCAGAGACCAAAGTCACTATAGCTCTATCTATACCAGGACTAAAACTGCTTCTGATGCCACTGGTCCCTTATCTGGCTGACAGACAGTAAGGATCCCTGATGTGGGCTTTATGAATTCCTACAGATGTAGTGACTAAAAATGTATGGAAAAATGAACAGTAAGGGAGTACTTGATGGAAGACAGCTTGTGTTAATATGTGAAAACTGAGTGTAGCAAAGCAGATCCAGATAGTGTGTCCACATCTACCCTGACCAAAAACTCCTTCTTTTATCAGAACACAAACTGGAGATCCATCCTTGCAACTTGTGCTCTTTGGCCTTCTCCAGCCAGAAATTCCTCAGTCAACACATGGAGCGCAGTCACCACTCACAGACCTTCCCAGGAACATCCTTTATAAAAAACTTCCAACCATGGGATCCCTGTTCAGGGGACCAGCCTCAGGAGCAACAGCATTCATACAACCAGAATGAAAAAATTGCGGATCAGGAGGCCAAAGGAAGCTCCAAACCCACACCTAAAAAGACAAGACATGGAGTTACTTCGAGGGCCTCTCCCAACCCACTCAAAGGACAGATGGAGAGATCTGAAGAAACTGAGATAATGATGGAGGAAGGACTCAGAACAGTCCAGAAAGTGAATACAGATGCTCCAAGCAAATTATCTGTGAAAACCAGAACCTCAAGAATTGTACAAGTAAAGAATGAAAAATATGGGCAAGATTTCAGTGACCAGTCAAGCCTCACCCAGCACCAGAGGACACACATAGGGGAGAAGCCCCATGTCTGCAGGGAGTGTGGGTGGGGCTTTACACAGAAGTCAAACCTCACCCGGCACCAGAGGACACACACAGGGGAGAAGCCCCATGTCTGCAGGGAGTGTGGGCGGGGCTTTACACGGAAGTCACACCTCACCCAGCACCAGAGGACACACACAGGGGAGAAGCCCCATGTCTGCAGGGAGTGTGGGCGGGGCTTTACACAGAAGGCAAGCCTCACCCAGCACCAGAGGACACACACAGGGGAGAAGCCCTATGTCTGCAGGGAGTGTGGGCTGGGCTTTACATGGAAGTCATGCCTCACCCGGCACCAGAGGACACACACAGGGGAGAAGCCCCATGTCTGCAGGGAGTGTGGGCGGGGCTTTACACAGAAGTCAAGCCTCACCCAGCACCAGAGGACACACACAGGGGAGAAGCCCTATGTCTGCAGGGAGTGTGGGCGGGGCTTTACACGGAAGTTAAATCTCACCCAGCACCAGAGGACACACACAGGGGAGAAGCCCCATGTCTGCAGGGAGTGTGGGCTGGGCTTTACATGGAAGTCATGCCTCACCCAGCACCAGAGGACACACACAGGGGAGAAGCCCTATGTCTGCAGGGAGTGTGGGCGGGGCTTTACATGGAAGTCATGCCTCACCCAGCACCAGAGGACACACACAGGGGAGAAGCCCTATGTCTGCAGGGAGTGTGGGTGGGGCTTTACACGGAAGTCACTCCTTACCCGGCACCAGAGGACACACACAGAACAACCATAGAAATGACAAATGTGTGTGTGTGTTGGGGGGAGTAGTTGGGAAGGTGGGGAGGGAAGGGATGGTAGGGGAAAAACAGAGGAGGCAACAATGCTTGATAGGAAATGTACTAATTACCTTGCTCATGTAACTGCAACCCCTCTGTACAGTATTTTTACAATAAAAAATACAAAAAAAAGAAATGACAAATGTAGCCACTGCGCACACTAGCTCTAATGAGGCTTCAGAGGACGTCTACTGGCCATTTACAGTCAGTCCCAAGAGTGCAATGTGATCAGAAATAATAAATAAGTCCTCCGCCTGAATGTTAAATGTTCAAGGGCTGTTCACACACTATTACCAAACTATTCCCCTTCTTGTGTGCTTGCTTCATACCTAATAAATGTTCTGTTCTTACAATTCCAAAGCCAATGCCAGTTACCTCATTCAGGAAACTCATACTTGAGTTCTGGGCTTGATAAGAACTCAACCTCTGGAAAGATGTATGCCTTAGTTAATTCCAGTAAAGTAAGTGGAGAGTCAGTTCCAGACCCAGAGAGAAATAGGGGATTTAGGACAGACTTGGGTCAGAAAATGGGCTTCCCTGGTCTCCTGAGAAGTGAGGCTTCTCTCCCTGTCCTGCTGCCATGCTCCTTCTTTGTCTTCTCTTGGCTCCTCTTCTGGTTTCTTCCAATCTCTAGAACCTTAGAAGTAAAAGTTAGCGATGTGTGTACACTTGTGAGTATGTGAGTGTGTGCGTGTGTTATGGGTGCATGAGTGTGGGAGGTTATGAGGGTGTGGGTAGGCACATGTGCGCATATGCATTTGTGCTATACATGGGGTCTATGTCCCTTTGGGGTTGCCAGTCAGGGAGGAAGAAATGTCCTCTAGAAGAACTCTAGATCCTCACCCTCCTCCTACAGAGAAACAAACAAGATTATGCAGTATGACGAATAAAATAAGAATGAAATTGTGACATATGTACAAAAATAGGTATATTATGAAAAGATACACAATAATGCTGTATTTCTTATGTAAACCCATACATGCTGGCAAGACTCAGTTCAGCTCAAGGAAGGTTAATGGCCATCTTGTCTCAGGACCTTGTTTCTCCAGCCATGGCCCTATTCTTGGTTCCATGGCTGGAACTAGGCCTAGCTTTTCTTCCCTATCAGAAACAACTAAAAATGTTTTTAGGAAGAAACATGCTCTTTTATAAGAAAGGCCTGAGATGGAGAGAGGAGGCATATGTATCAGACATTTAGGGAATGGCCCTTGCTGCCAGGTCTGTGGCCTTGGGTCTCAGGCTCACTCATGAGGTAGAACAGAGCTCTTAGACTGAAATGCCCCCAGGGAAGGACAGTGAGAGCTGTCAACTCGGTTTACCTTACAGCCACATACCCATCCGTGACTTTCCTTGGGCCCCACTCCCCCTGTAGTGTTTCAACTCAGCCTTCCAAACCAAATAGCTTGCCTGTTTGCCTTTGCCTTGATCAGAGTACTTATTTGTGTATTTATGTTATCTTTCTATTGCTATAACAAATACTTAATATAATCATCTTATTAAGGAGAAAAGGTTTATTTTTGGCTCACAATTTCAGAGATTTCAATTCATCATCTATTGCCCTGTTGCTTTGGGCCTGTGGTAGCTAGTACATCATGGCAGGAGTATATCGCAGAGAAAAATGGCTCGCCTCATGGCCAGGAAGCAAAAGAGAAAAGAAGACTGGGGCTTCACCATTCCAAGAGCACGCCACCATACCCAAAAACCTCTAACTGGAAACGCCGTCTTACTATTAAGCCCAGGATAGTTTTGAACTTCTATTGGAGCGCACCACCACACCCAATTTGAGCTCCACCTGTTAAATTTTCTACTTCCTACCAACAACATCTAGCTGAAGATCAAGCCTTTGAGCCATGGAGTTTGTGTGTGTGTGTTTGGTGGGGGGGAAGCATTTAAAAACCAAACCATAGTACCTATTTCTTCATGGTTCTTCCTCATCTTCAAATTCAGGATAGCCTTTGAATGCAGTCAGTGAGGTAGACTGCAGAAATAAATGATATATTTCTTACAGAAGTGGCCACTATATTATTTTCCTAGTGGTATGGCTTAAAATATAACTTTACTAACTCACAGTGTGGAGTCTGGAATTCTGAAATCAAGGTGTCTTAGTAGGACCCTATTCCTACTCATTCTCTCAGGAGGGCCTTTCTTGCCTCTTCTAGCTGAAGTTTTGGGGCTTGGTGTTTTTTGGCTTGCCTTGTTAATCAAGAACGTAATTCAATGACACCTGTTAAAGCATGGTAGGAAAGATTTGTTTTTCAGGACCCTCACGACAGGTCCAGCACCTATCATGCATGGGACTCTGCAGGGAAAAAAGGCAAGTCATCATTAGATCACGGCTTGTTCCCTCATGCCTACTCCAGCCGAAATTCACAGAGTCTGAACACATGGAGGAAGTAAGGAGCAAGAGAGGAGAAGCCATCTTGAGTCAGTCCTTGTGGTGAACATTTTATGTATGTCTTATCTAGACTAAATCACCATTTTCTCTTTAACTTTGTCGCACAATTTCTATGGTATAATACAAAACAAATGGTTCCTGACACACTGCTCCTAAAAACCTCAGAATGCCTTCTACATACTAATGAAATTACTGGTGGTACCATCCCTAAATACCTTCACATGGAAAGATGTGAACTCATTACCAAATCATTGAACTGAGAAGTGAACTGAAATCAAAGCTAAAAGCAGTTCACACTAGCCCTGGTGGCCACCGAAGTCTAGACTTGCTGAAAAGTAGAGAGATCTTGTTATATTCCAAGAGCTTAAATTTCAGTGCTCTGACACAGCAATTCAAGTCACAGCCTGCACCAATCTCTCTCCAGTCCTAAACATCCAGCTATTCGACATTTACTTAACATCCACTAGTCCTGGCTGAGAAAAAATATCCCACAGGTGCCTCCATTTACCTGAAGTGCTTTCTAGCTTCCCAGCCTGCAGAGAAACCACCTGCTCTGGTGAAAAGCAGGACCGCTGCAGCATGCCCGGGACTACCAGGGAAGAGATGCAGACACAAGCACAGACTGGTAGGCTGGCATTCTTTGTGTGTTCTTAAATGCAGGGCATGGTTGTACCCCATTCCTGGCACACTGCCCCTGATTTCCAACTGTAAGTAAAAAGGCAGGCTCTGTCCTTACCTTGCAGCTTTGATTGGATGGCTCAGGGGTGGACAGCAGATCTGCTTAGATGGTATTTAGGCCTCAAGCCACCTTTGCCAAAAAATCCCTGAGCTTTGTCTCTGAACAGCCTCACACTGAGCACCAGAAACTAAGCAGGTCTGCCTTCACTAGCTGGCTGCCAGGAGGTAGACAGATGCTTCACAGTCACAGCCAAACAAGTGTCCCAGGCCCAAAATAGCAGTCAGATGATCAAAAGGGCAAGCTCATTACTTTGTTTTCCAAAGCCCAGCTGCTCTCAGCAAGAGCAGCTAACAGTAGGTTTGAATGGCACACACTTTGGGGAAGATCAGCAGGGACAGTCCAATTCTGCCTCCTGTCCAGAGTACAATGAGATCTCTTCGCTTCATTTCTGCTGAAGTCCTGGTGTCCCACCCCAGCGTGGCTGTGGAGGGCCTGAGTAGTGTGGCCTACAATCTTTACCCACTCCTGTTCAAGGCCAGCTACCTGCGGGAACAAGCGGAAGTAACCCGTGCTGTGCTGGGCTGCTGGCCCCTAGAGGAATTCCGGCTAGATGTACTACTGGGGCCAAGCACTGACCACCCTGAAGACCTGCGTGACCGGGCCTGCAAGACCTGCCTGGAAGCCTGTGTGCAGGGCCTGGCTGATCACGTGCTTCAGGGCAGGAGCTGCCGGCTGCAGAGAGCTGACCTTACGGGTATCCGGGATGTACAGGTGCAGCGATGTCCCTGTGGCAAGGCTCTGGGAAGGTGGGGCCGTACTGAGCTCCTGGCGAGGATATGCTGCCAACTGCAGGCAGAGGCCTGTGCAGTCAGGCGGCCTATTGAAGTCCTCGTTGACCTCTTTGTCACTGAGGGCAACTTTGAGATGGTGGTGCAGGCCCTGAAGCCAGCAGGTCTGGCTCCTCTGCAGATGCGCTGTCCCTCCTTCCGGGCAGACAGCCTGAGCCCTGGGCAGCTCCTGCAGGTGTTAGGCCTAGCCAGGCCAGGGGAGCTGCGCAAGCTGGAGGTGGTCCACAATGTGCGGCTACATGCTGGCCATGTGCAGCAGCTGTTAGCCCAGGTGGGATTCCCTCACCTGACTTCCCTCACCCTGCCCACCAAGGCCTTTGACACACCCTTCCCTTGCGTCCCAACTTCTGAGCGTGAAGACTGCCTCCTTGCCTCCATCGCCAGGGAGCTCAGCAGCATGACCCGGCTGGTAGAGCTGAGTGTGTCCTTCTCCACGCTGACAGGGAAGATCCAGACTCTGCTGGGGTGAGTCTCCGAGACTGAAAGGAAGAGGCTCTTGGCTTGAGAGGCTGCAGAGGTGCTGAGCGATGGGAGAGAAGCGGCTTACTCACAAAGCCCCCACCTCAGTGCTCTGGAGCTTCACTGGGCAGAGCACAGGAGAGAAATGAAGGAGAAGTTAGAGGGCCAGGAGAGAGCCAGAATACTGAGGGACCCTAGGAGACCACTTCCAGTTAGCAAGAGCCAATGTGCAAGAAACCATGCCTGCAATCCTGGCACTCAGAAGCCTGAGGAAGGAGTGTGAATTCAAGGCCAGCCTGGATAACAGGGAGACTGTCTCAAAAAACAAGGTCTGGGGGCTGGAGGTGTAGCTTAAGTGGTAGAATGCAAGAAATGAAAGAAAGGAAGGGCTAGAAAGTGACTTAATGCTAGAGCGTTTGAGTAGCACGTGCAAAACGTGGCTCTGATCCCTAGCACTAAGAGGAGGGGAGAGGGGGAAAGGGAAAAGGGGAGGGGGAAGGGAGTGGAAGAAGGAGAGGTGGGTGTGAAAAGAACATGTTAACTAATGAGTCTACAAGGTAGCTTTAACAGGGCAGAGCTAACTACAGTGACTCCTGTAGTTGTCTATTGTGGTGAAAAAGTTCCCTGAATTATCTCAGGTCAGGAATAGAAACCTGGCTCAGCTGAGTGGCTCCAGGTTGTCAGCTGACTGCGGGGCTGTAGCATTACCCTGGCCTGTCTGGGCAGATACTAGCCTGAGATCATGGGGCTGGGAGAGTGCCTGGGCCTCCACTACAGGGTTCTCATAGTGCTGAAGCCAGTGGTTTCCCCCCTCTGCAGCTGTGCTATCAAGAGGAGCAGGCAAACACAGGCACTGAGGGATGCGGTCAGAGTCAGGGCCCCGCTGCCCCTTTGCTGATGCTAGCTGCTGACACCAACTAAATCAGCATTACTGACTTGGGGATATGGTGCCTCAGTTGGGAATCTCTGGCTTTCCCTTCCTGGCTCTACATTTCTGGATTCCTGTTGTTAGAGTAATGGCTCCTTTTTCCTTACTACTGCCTCCTTTGCCCTGCATCAAGCTTTCAGAATGGATGTTCTCTCCAGGACCCTGCACATAACTCCTTTCAATATGAAAGTGGTTGTTGGTGAAATCTGCCACTGAGGTGAGATGAAGACAAAGGTCTCTTTGGTTCAGGTTAATTCTGGACCACACAGCAAGCCCAGCAGCTGTAGACTGTGTGAGAGCCAGGGAGCCAGCCGGTGTCCCAGTGAACCTTATTTATGGACACAGACAATTGCATTTCATGTAGCTACACGTATCAAACAATTTCTACAGACTGCATGTAATCAGGTGAGAACAAGACTTGCCCCACAAGGAGCAGTCTGCGTTCCCTGTGACAGACAAGCAGATGGATCACTCACCTCCATTGTTGTTCACATGGGACCCCTCTGATTTGTGCTGTTTTCTGCCTGCCCTACAGCCCCCTCAGGACACCACTGAGAACGCTGGACCTGGCCAACTGTGCTCTGAACCACGAAGACATGACCTTCTTGGCAGACTGTATCCATGCTGCCCACCTGGAGGTGCTGGACCTCAGTGGACACAATCTGCTTCATTTATATCCCTCTACCTTCCTCAAGCTCCTGCGCCAGGCTGCCCAGACTCTACGGGTGCTGACCTTGGAAGAGTGTGGCATCACTGATAGCTGTGTGGGCATGATGATCCTGGGCCTGAGCTCCTGCCACCAGCTCCAGGAGCTCAAGTTCCTTGGTAACCCGCTGTCAGCCTGCGCCCTCAAGCGCCTCTTTTCTGCACTCTGTGAGCTCCCTGAGCTACGCTGTATCGAGTTCCCTGTGCCTAAGGAATGCTACCCGGAGGGTGCTGCTTATCCCCAGGATGAGCTGGCCATGTCCACATTCGATCAGCAGAAATATGCTGTGATTGCAGAAGAGCTGCGTGGCGTGCTGCTGCGGGCCATGCGGGAAGACATCCAAACCTCCACACCACTCTTCGGGGGTTTTGACCCAGAAGTTCATGAAACCAGCAATGAGCTTGGGGCTTTCTTGTTGCAAGCTTTCAAAGCTGCTTTAGACAACCTTTCCAGAGCACTAAAACAAGCAGAGTAGGCCCTTGAATTGTGCATTTTAACCAGCTCAGTTGCCCAGAGGTCAAGTCCTGTATTAGAGCATAAGGCTGAGATCTCAGCACCAGTAGCTTCACTGAGAAAAAAAGCATTTGTTAGTGAAAGCTGTGGGTGTGCCTGTCAATTAAAGAAACCCTGCCTTCTAAATGTGCCATGCAGAGCCCTTGGGTTCAATTCTAGAACTAGGTGAAGGTGCCACGGCAGAGGTCCAGGAACTGGGGCAGAGTGGAGACCTCAGCTGATATCTACTATGGCAGCCTGAACCCTGGGAGCAGGGTTCACCTGACTCTGAAGCAGAAGGGGAGGAAGTGAGATCACTCATCACAGAATACAAATAATAGAAGACCCCATTAAAAAAACCAGGAGAAAAAGACTAAACACAGAAAGTAAAATGAAAGGGAACCAAACCAGTGGGCCTAGCAGAAACTCAGCAGACCTGGTAGGAGATGTTCTTTGCTGGGTGCCAGTGTTTTCTAGACAATGTGTCCAGGGGACAGAAGCAGGAGTGGCTCTATCCTTGTTTGGCTCAGCATATAAGCAGAGGTATAGCAGCTCAGTGAAAGTCTGAACTGAGGGCATCTCATGACAGGGATGCCCCAGTATTTCTTAGTGTAATTCATATTCCACTTTCTACAGAGCAGCTGGATTCAAAGCTATACCTCAGGCTCCCTTGCTTCTCTGGGTGTGTGAGACCTGGCACTTGAAAAAGCAGTACATTATCACCTGAGGAATACCCACTGGAAATCCACTCTGCCAAGGTCTGCTTTGCAAAAGCTGAGTTTTGAGCATAAATAATAAAACAATAGTTTACTCAGATGCAACATTGTTCATTGCAATTCTGATTTTTTTGGGGGGGGTCTGGTAGTGGGGCCTGAACTCTGGGCCTGGGCGCTGTCCCTCAGCTCTTCAGCTCAAGGCTAGCGCTCTACCACTTGAGCCACAGCACCACTTCCGGCTTTTTTCTTTTTGCTTATGTGGTACTGAGGAATTGAACCCAGGGCCTCAAGCATGCAAGGTAAGCGCTCTATCACTGAGCCACCTTCCCAGCCCTCTGATTATTTTTGTGTGTGCCAGTCCTGAGGTTTGAACTCAAGAAACTGGATACTGGTCCTAGACTTTTCTGCCTGGGCTGGCTCTGAACTGTGATCCTTAGATCTCAGACTCCTAAGTAGCTAGAATTACAGGGGAGAGCCACCGGTAGCTGGGTCATTCTATTTTCACAAAAGCAGATCTTGCTGCAGAAATCAGACTTTCCCACCCAAGGACACACTAGTAAAAAGTTTTAAAAATGCATGTGGCTTTGCCGGGTGCCAGTGGCTCACACCTGTACTCCTAGCTATGCAAGAGGCTGAGATTTGAGGATCACAGTTCAAAGCCAGCCCGGGCAGGAAAGTCCATGAGACTCTTATCTCCAATTCACCACTAGAAAACCACAAGTGGCACTGTGGCTCAAGTGGTAGAGCACTAGCCTTAAACTGAAGAGCTGAGGGATAGCGCCCAGGCCCAGAGTTCAAGCCTCCAACTGACTGAAGGAAGACAAGGCATGTGGCCAAAGAATAAAGAATGTGCTGATCAGAGCTAGAGGATCATTTCAGGAGTTTGCACTTGGCCTTGCTATCTAAATGACTGATTCCAAAGGTCAAAACACCAATGAGAGTGTTATTTCCTGATTGCACATTTGGAGACTAGGGAAACATACACAGGCCCAGTGGACTCTGTAGATACATCAGTCTGCTGCTCGGGTTGTCACCCTCTCCTCTGTCTCTCTAATTACAAGATAAGAGCAACATTCTATTCTGCTCTCAGCTACTCAAAACTGCTATCTGAAATCTACTGGCTCCCAGGGTAGCCCTAGGGAAGGTGCTGTGGTTGTCATTCCGTCTTGATGTTTCAGTCACTCAACCACCAGCCTCAGCCACTCCCAAGCCTCATCCTTTGGCACTACCAATCAGGGCCAGCCTTAGCTCTGGGAACAGGCACTAGACCCTAGATGCCTCACTCACTGTCTGCTGGCCACTGACAGGTTTTCAGTCTCCAGTGAAGTGGCATTGTACGAGTGACCCACCGTGGTATGTTCTTGCTGGCCGGCTTTCTGTGACCTCATGTCCTCCAACTTGCAGCAGTGTGACTAGGGTGGCCCATTAAGGGATCCTGGGTCTTGCTCTGCAGGTTTCCCAGGAGAGGGCTTATTCCTGAGGGAACTGACATGAGGGCTCCTCTGATACTTGGGCTCATGTTCAGGCTCATGTCTCGGGGTGGCTAGGCATGGCAGCTGCTTCTACTCTGTTACTCTGAGGTAACATTCTTACCTGCCAGCCAAGTGAGCCCATGTCTCATTTAGAGATGCCAGGGACTTTTCAGCTTTTGCAGAAAGCTGAGTCACGACTATCAAAGCTTTTCTCTTTTCAAGGGTTCCTGTGACCTTAACAAAAGCCATATACTGGGGATCCTTTTTATTGCTCTGACTCTACTCAAATGCTACAGCACTGTATAACCTAGAGTCCCCACATCCTGCTTCAGGAAAGGTGACAGGATAGAAGCTGTGCCACATGGCCTGAGAAAAGTTACAGTGAGTGAAGGAGTGACTGCTGCCGTATTCCCAAGGTCAAGCCAGACACCAGGTGCCCCTGGACAGGCTTGGCTGCAGGCCTGTCACCAGGCAGGCTCCAGTCAGGGCCTGGCCAAGGGGACCACCCTTGGCCCCTATCCCAGGTTGAACATTCCGCTGAAGGCCTGGCCAAGGACATCGCCCTGTGGCTCAAGGGACCATTATCCACTTTTTATTTTCCACTTCCTTGCTAAGCTCTATATAAGTCTACTCCAAAATCCAGTCCCTTGCACAATTTCAGGGAAATGAGCTCCCTTCCCATCGCTTAGCACGCTCCTTCCCTTCTCTACAGCTTAGCACGCTCCCTTCATAGGCAGCACTTGGCCCACATAGTAAAGGCAGTAAATAATCAACCTCCAACCCCCTGACCTTGGGATGTCTCTCCTCTGGGGCAGCTGCCACCATAGAAGGCAACAAGAGCCCCTGAGAGTGAGCTTCAGGTCTGGGCAGCTGCAGGACCCTTATCTGCTATTTGGACAGAGCCATCCATCCTAGTCCGCCATGATGAAGCCCCTGGCCCGCACGTCCACACCGGGGTCTCCTCTGCCTCCTAGTTCATCCTAGACCTCCTAGGTTATATAGGTCACCCCAGACAATAGCCGGGTGCTTCTCACTCCTGCCTTGTGAGAAGGGGTCTGGCCGGCCCCTTTCCTGGCAATAAACCTTTCTTTGTTTTCTGTACCTGGATGTCTGTGTGGTTCTCTGGCAAAGTCTAATTAATCTTTTTAAGCTTACAACCTCCAAACCTGAGAGGTTGAAGGATCCCACACATCCATCCCAGGGGACCACACAGAGGCAGGCATGTTGGGTCTTCGTCCGTCCCACAAAAGACGGATGGGGTCCAAGGAAAGGTAAGTGCGGCGTTCGCCAGTTCCCTAGCCTCCCTCAGCCCAGGAGACAATCAGACACAGCAGGGAGCCAAATCCAGCAGGTAGAAAACCTCATTTATTAACAGAGAGCAGCCCCTTTTAAAGACAAAAAGGGTGGGTGGTATGGTAAGGGAGGAAGAGGAACCAATCACTGTCAAGGTCACACCCTATCATTCACCTGAGCCTTCAGGGGCTGCTTAGGCACCGATGGGCAGATCAATTGGGCTCTGCCCACTCAACCCTCTCCCTGTGCCATCTTGGCTGCCCATGTGCTCTACAGTAAATTAGGCTCTGCCCACTCAACCCCCTCCCAGTGCCATCTTTGCTGCCCATGTGCTCCACACAGGCACAGGAGAAAAATTATTACAAGGCTTATTAGAGGAGCCATATTTCCCCCAAGAGGGAGCACAGGGCCTCTGTCACCATCCAGGTAGCAGGAGGGTCTGGGGGATAGGAAGTGAGGTAGATGGGAGTTCAGATGGGTCTGGGAAGAGAGAGGAGCGACCGGCTGCATGGCATGGCGGGAACTCCAGGAATGAGAGGAGCTCAGGTCTGGTTGGAGCTAAGGACCAAAGGTGAGCACAATAATAACAGAGGTCTGTCAGTGCCCCTTGCTGGCAATGAAGAGTCAATGCCTGTTGATGATCCAGTCCCGCCTATTCCTTTTCTGTTTTCCTCCATTTTCCTAACAGTGAGAATGCTGGAACAGGTATGTGGATACAGGAGACAATCTTTCCCAGGTTGCCAACGGGTGTTCACGGCCATGTCTCCATTCTTAATTTGAGGCTGCCTGAGATGGCCTTAAAATAAGTTTCCCTCGTTGGTGTCTAAGACACCTTGATCACTGCTACTTACAACCAAGAGATATAGTGTGTTTTGTCCAGCTCAGAATAAAGAAAGGGACACTTCTGCCATGCAGAACACTCATGGGGTAAAGGTTAAGGAAGGTTAAGGAAGTCCAGCTGTTTGCATGGCAGTGATATCCTTAGAAAAGATGGTATGCTGTTAACAATAGAAAAAAGGCAGCTACCTATCTACAGGTGAGTTCAGGTGTTCACTAGAGATTTCCTTCCATGTATTCAAGCTCTTAGCTTAAACAAGATTCATTAGGCTTTGCCAGACAACCTCGCAGACATCTGGGTACAGAGAACAAAGAAAGGTTTATTGCCAGGAAAGGGGCCGGCCAGACCCCTTCTCACAAGGCAGGAGTGAGAAGCACCCGGCTATTGTCTGGGGTGACCTATATAACCTAGGAGGTCTAGGATGAACTAGGAGGCAGAGGAGACCCCGGTGTGGACGTGCGGGCCAGGGGCTTCATCATGGCGGACTAGGATGGATGGCTCTGTCCAAATAGCAGATAAGGGTCCTGCAGCTGCCCAGACCTGAAGCTCACTCTCAGGGGCTTTTGTTGCCTTCTATGGTGGCAGCTGCCCCAGAGGAGAGACATCCCAAGGTCAGGGGGTTGGAGGTTGATTATTTACTGCCTTTACTATGTGGGCCAAGTGCTGCCTATGAAGGGAGCGTGCTAAGCTGTAGAGAAGGGAAGGAGCGTGCTAAGCGATGGGAAGGGAGCTCATTTCCCTAACACAAACTAAGACAGTGGAAGCAGCTAGAAAGTGCTCACCTTGCTTTAAAGAAATTGTTATATTATCCCCACTTTCGGTCCTCATCCACCTAGATCTGAGCTCCTTCCTACCCTAGAGTTCCCTCCAAAAGCTGGCCACTCCCTCTCTCTGCCCAGACCCACCTGTGCACGCCTTACCTCACTTTGTCCCTGATCTACCTGCCGTCTGGATGGGGGCAGATGCCACATGCTCACTCTCCTAGGAAGATAATGGTTCCTCTAATAAACCTTTTGCCTGCCTGCCTGCCTG